TTGGTTCGCCGTGCAGAATCTCAGTTCAGTATTAAAAAGTTCAACGTTTTTCAAGAGTTTTATTGCAATCAGTTTCATGGACTTTCAGCCAAGCGCGCAGCAGCTCAGATTGGACAGCGACCTTGGCTCTGATTGGACGTTTCATGAAATGGCTCCCCGTTTTAAAAGTCCAACAATTACTTGAGTTTGAGGTTTGAATTACACCAGGCCTTCATTTGTCAGAAAATTACAATAAAGAATTTCAGCACAGCACCTCCTTCTGGGTCTCAATATTTTCTGATTTGCAGTGATTGTGCTTTATTCCTGATATTTGCTGCCATTTGTCCTGAATGGGCATAGATGTCAAGTTGCACATTTACTGTAAAATCACAAATAATGGTCACTTTTTTTGCAAAACCAAAAGATGCCAAATCAAAGTGGGGCACGACAAAAGGTGCTTCAGAAATGAAAAAGTTTAAATTGTTTAGACATTTACCACCACCTGGGCAGTACTGAGGGGTTGTAATAGGAGATTTACAAGACATTTCATACAAAACGTGTCAATATGCATTTACATACTGTAAATTACTTTTAAAGCATTTAAACGTGTTAAGAGATTTTAAAATGAAGAAATAAGGAGTTAACCGTGTTATTCACAAGATTTTACAAAATAGTGGCCACTTGAGACAAACGAGACTCCGCTACACGCTTTTTCAATGTCTTATACTGCCCCCAAGTGGTCACGGTGTGCACAGTCGCACAATGTCAATTTATGCAAAAGGCAGAAATTATGTATAGCAAAAAAAAAAAACCCTGCTTGAATAAAAAATCAACTGAAGCCAATTTTTACTGTAATTGTAATATATTTTTTATGAAGTATGATACTTACATTTTCTTCTAATGTAGTCTTGATTGATTATTGGATGGAATTAATCTGGGAATTTATTTTCCAGCATCAGGGCTCCCAGGGGGCTGCCTGAGCGACTCGAGCAACAGCCTCGCCAACCTGTCCTTGTTGCATTTGGTGAACACCGTCACGCTGTGCTGCTTCTTGAGCCTGCCCACGCGGTCCAAGACCATCATGCCGCGGCACATGGCGCCCTGCAGCTCCACGCGCACAGGACAGCGCACGCTCTCGGCCACCACGCCGGCATCCACGCAGGCAGCCACCGCGTACGAGTCAAAGGAGACAAAGCCAGCCCCGAAGTGAAGGCCGCGCTTCTTGCTTAGAGCCTCCTGGGAGTAGGCCCAGCAACGGGACGTGGCGGTCTTCATAAAGCGGGACGCTGCCGTGTCTTGGCTCGTCAGCTCCTCGAAGAAATCCTTCATGGGGGAGAAAAAAAAACTCATAAGGAAGTCATCCATAGGGTAAGGCATTTATTACCATCTTTTGTTTTCCAAGCAAAAAAGTTCTACTTCTCGTTGGATTGTTTGGCTTGAGAAATATGCCATTTTGGCCTTTGACAGGAGAAGTCAAGTCCAAAAAATGTCTTTTCAATAATATCTATGCAGCCCCATTAGTCGAAACACATCTTTCAGATTAATATTGCGTTTGTGGATTATGATCATTTGGCTTTATCCATCTCTGCTTCAACTGAAAAAAATATCACAGTTGCTCAAGTGACCAATCACAGCTCACCTATTTTCGCAGTTTTGGTCATGTGACATTTGCAATCCAAGCCCGAAGGCATTTTTTTTATTTTTATTAGTACCGTAGTCATTGAAAACCTTTTTTCTCATGCGAGTATAACTTTTTTTGAGTGTGATATCTCAAAAAAACACAACTTTATTCTTTAAACAATTCGAAGGATTCATTTTTCATAAAATCTTAACTGCCCCTCCCCACCATCACACAGACAAGTGGTGTTGCTGTTGTTTTTAACCTAAGCGGCACATAAATGGTGGCTAAAAGACGCTTGCGATTCAACAAATAAGGGAATTTGTTTGGGGCGTCTTCACATCTCACCCACGACAGCGCGTTTCTGCAGGCGTATTCCCACGTCGCCATGTAGGTTGGGCATAAAAACTCCTCCAGAACCACGTAAGCGGCCTCAGGATCCATGGCAAAGTTGAACTCGGCACACAGGGACACGTTCCCTTTCCCTGAATGCGCACACACACACACACACAAAACATAAACAAACATTCCCCCCCCCCCCAAAAAAAAATTCTTTAGGCAATATGAATTCTTGAATTTGTAAGAGATGAGTGTGACTTAATTTTTTTTTTTGGGTGGGGGGGATTAACTGCCCACTCTTGTTCCCAATGGTCTGAATGATCATTTTTATCTTTTTATTTATTAATTTATTTTAATAAACAAACTCCCTTGAGTATTGCGCTTACCTTCCATGTTGCCGCCCATGATGTAAAGTTTTTTAAGCTTTCCGGGGAAGCTTGGGTCCAGCCTGGCGGCCAGCGCCAGGTTGGTAAGTGGACCCAGGGCCACCAGTGTCACCTGTGATCGCCAAGCCACGCTTTCTTTTCATGCCAATCACTGAGCGCCAGAGGGGACCGCAAATACTTACCTGCGCGGGGTTCTCCGCCACCAGACGCACCATGGCGCTTACCGCGTGTTCCCTCCGGATTTTCGCCTCCCACTGGGGGTCCTTGTCCTTGAAAACATCCCCAAGGCCGTCCGTGCCGAAGTGGTCGCAGGGTGTGTCGGTGCCGGCGGTCCCGAGCAGGGGCCCGGCAGATCCTCGGAACACCGGGATCTGCCCAGGGAAAAACCGCACAAGGCTGAAGAACTTTTGAGGTGTTTAAGGACATTATTTGGTGAAAATTGGTAATATACAGTAAAAATTGGAACTGCTTACATTTTTTTGTGTGTGTGTATTATAAATCAAATTTATGAGCTATGTGAGTAATGCAACAACAGTACTTTTCTCTAAAAGTGTAAAAAAAAAAATAATAATAAGGTCACATGTTCAAAATCATTTAAGATTTCAAAAGAATAAACACAACATGCTCCCCCAGTGACCTGACCCAGAATTGCTTCGTTTTGTTTCGCCGAATGCAAAAACTAAATTTGTTAAGCAACTTCTTGAAACATAAAACTTTTGACAAAACGTATGCCATTTTGTAAAAAACAACTGGCTTCTCTTAAAAATGTGTTGAAAAAATAGGATGGGATTCTTAATAACAAAATATTAATACTGAAACATTTGCTGACAAAGAAGACTTTTTTCTTAAATGTTATGGGTATGATTCCCCCCTTGACATGTTTCCTTAAGTATAATTTGTCCAATATTTCAGAAAAATTCTCGTTAAAAATTATTGGGGTTATGTGGTGTTCCCTCCCCCCACCCCATTTCAAATACATTAAAAAAAGAAAATAAGAGATATTCACTTTGCTTTTCCATCAAACCAACCTGCTCCCGCTGACCCACTGCAAGCACCCTCAACACATTCTGGCACACATCGTCTACAGACGCGTTCCCGAACACACAGGTGGCTGCCAGGACGCGGACGTGCGGCGCCGCCAAAGCCACCAGGATGGCCTGGGCGTCGTCGATGCCGCAATCGGTGTCGATGACGAGCAATTTCTCGGACATCTTTGCTTGAAAAATAAAAACGAAGGGTCACTTTGCAAATGAAGGATTAGAAGTTAACTTTTCCGAGTGAAGATGAACCTCTCTTCCCAGAGGAGGCGAGACGCAGGATTCTCTCGTTTGATTGGCTCGAAGTGGCGTAATCACTCCGGGGGGGGGCGAATATGGCGTCGATATAAAATAGTCAGTAAAATGTTAATAAATGTACTCAAAAAACAAACATTGAATGGATAAATCATAATAAAATTGTTAACCAATAGTTCCCATGCCAGGATGATTTAAAATTATTTTTTTGTCAAGTAAGAATCTAAATCGAACCTATTCTCCAGAATGGTTCAGTCCTGTTCAGCTAATCCGGAAGTGTACACATCGAGGGTTAATTGATGTCTAAGCAAGCTAATGTTGTAAATGTGTTATCAATACGACTCTGCTTGTAACATTTTAACGCTAAACATTAACCTCGCAAGAGGACGATTTATAGCGCACGTCGCGAGGAACCTACCCGCTTTCCTCCCGAGCTGATGCGCCTTCCTCAAGTCTTCGGGTAAAATGTGATTTTCTTCTGGGGGTTGTTTAAATTAACGATGCAATTTTGTTCATAAATAATATTTTTTTGTTTGGAATCACGAGAGAAATGCCTTCGAAGGTCGTCACTATAATTATCCCTTACTACTTTATTTTCCAAAGGAAAAACTAGTTTATTCGTGGAATAATACACATTTTTTTACGAATTAAGAAAAAACCCATCTCTTGGACCAAACTTTCCTCGAAGAAATTGCAGACTTTTAGTTTTTTGTAATTGGACTGATATTTATTTATTTTTTGCTGTTAATTTATTATTTTTATTTTTTACTGGGAGGGGGGCTTTCCCCAAACCTAAAGGACTGATGGTTGTCTAGATAGAAATACTATTTTTAAAACGTTTCTTTAAAATTAAAAAAAAAAAATTCCAATACAGAAGTAATTTTTTAAAATTAAACACATTGCTTTTTCCTCATAAAACTTTCAGTCCTTTTAACCATTGGAAAATGAATGCTATGGAAATAATTACTTTAAAAAGGCGATCCAGGAAACTTGAAAGTAAAAATACAAAATAAAACTTTGCTCAAAATGTGACTTCTTAAGAAAATTTTGATAAATTATGCTTTTGTTTTTGTTGTGATTGTACTAAAGGTATATGATGGTTTTCTAGAAAGAAATCTGACTTAAAAGTTTCTTGGAGAGAAACGTTTTCTTTGAAATTATGAACAGAATCTCTTAACTAACTTTTTGCATGGATATTTTCTCAGGTAAAGTGAGTCATTCATGCCAAACACATCAAAAGATCCCGCGGGTCCATCAGAAGTGTCAAGTATGCAAAAACAAATCATGGGCAGGGAAGAAGAGGACCGCCGCCTGATTGGCTCATTGGCCCGGGACACCTCTGTCGCTCTAACCCGGCGAGCGTCTAGTGGTGAGCTCCAACTGCCCCGCGCCTTCCCGGTCACGCACTCTCGGGAGAAGTTCTACACCGTCTGCTCGGACTACGCGCTGCTCAACCGGGCGGTGAGGACGCAGGATGACGGGGACAAGGCCACCCGAGACTTCCAGTCGGCGGCAGCCTGCATGGTTTCCGACGGCGACTGCGACATGGAGGACCTGACGGCCGGCAGGGATGCCAAGACCATGCTCGCTTGGGAGATTGACACCACCGACTTCAAGGCGGTGCTCACGCGCAAAATTAGAAAGGGTAAAATGACAACAAAAAAAAAAATCACAGCCCAAAGTTTTATGGAGAATATGGGAGGAAGTTATATTCGAGTCCACCTTGGTTTATAAATCGTTTTACTTTTTATTTTCTTGATAAAGAATGCCTTTATTCTAATGAAACTACTATTTTGTTTTCATGAAAATTTCGACATTGTCCCACAAAAATCTGACTTCCTATTTTCTCAAGATTACATTTTTTTTCCTTGAAAAAGTTAAGGTTTGCCTTTTTTTGTTTTTTTTTTTAAAGATTTTTTTTTGTCTTGGGTAAAATGTTACTTTTTTCCCTGAAGAAACCTTGACTTAAAATAAATAAAAAAAATATAATTGTATGGGGAAAACAAGACTTTAGTATCAATTTTTTTGTGTGTGTGTGTGTGTGTGTAAGTCTGGCTGTTTTTCTTGGATTTTTTTTCTCAATAAAAATGAGCATGGATTATTTTATTACCAGAATTGACTGTTTCGAGTCAAATATGTTTTTCTTTATTTAATTATTTATTTTGCATTCCTTTTAAGGCAGCGTGAAGAAGTGCGGCAGTAAGAAGATGAAGCCAGACCGAGCCAGCCGGAACCTTCAGGAGGTCCTGCCTCACCCCTCGTTAGAAGACGTCAAGCAGAGAAAAGTTCTCGATCTCCGAAGATGGTAACTCAAGTAACTCTTTCTACACATTGCATACCTGGATATATATTTATTTTATATGCAGCGGTACCTCATCATGCGAGTGACGACTTGACCAAGTCACCTATAAAGAATATTTGTGAATACTATAAAACCTATAAAGAATATTTTATTCTTTGTCAGCTGGTATAAACTCATAAGTGCACATTCATGAATCTAAAACTGTTCTTGTATTGTTTTGTTGCCAGGTACTGCATCAGCCGGCCACAGTACAAGACATCGTGCGGTATATCGTCACTGGTGTCCTGCTGGAACTTCTTGTATAGCGCGCTTGGGGCAGGAAGGTGAAGACCACCACCGTCGGCACCTTATCGTCATCGCACATAAAATATTTCCTGCTGACTATGCGTTTCCTTGCCAGTCTGCCGCCCATCTCCCAGGAAGAGGCGCTCCACATCCTGGGCTACCAGCCGCCATTCGACGAGATCAAGTTTGGGCCCTTCACGGGTAACGCCACCCTCATGCGGTAAGAAGGGAAAACACTCAATAACGTGTCATAAAAGAAGAGCATAATTGAAATTGAATACAGAGAAATAAACAGTTTGTACCATGTTTTGTGTTCAGTTCAATGGACATTGTCCTGCTCCTTTAGTGCATTCCATCTGGGGGCAGTAGAATAATCTTATCCCTCCCTTATCTGTGCTGCTTATCCTTAGAGATAAGGATATACTGTACATCGAGACAGACACAAGTTACTCACCTAAATCCAAAGTAGTTGTCGTGCTTTGCAGAAGATAAAGAATACATGCTCATGAGCATTGTTATAATAGCACCTGGATAAAGTGGATTTCAAGAACAATTTTAATCTCTCAAAATTATACTTTATATTCTGGAAGAATGCATAAATGCGCCCAAAAATAGAAAGAAGTTTGGAGCGACAGACTCATTCCTCGCGCTCTCCCAAGGTGGTTCCGGCAAATCAACGACCACTTCCGCGTGCGGGGCTGCTCGTACATCCTTTACAAGCCGCATGGGAAACATAAGACTGCGGGAGAGACGGCGGAGGGAGCCTTGGCCAAGCTGATGCTTGGCCTCAGGGACGAGACCATGGCCTACGTATACCACTGCCAGAACCACTACTGCTGCCCCCTCGGATTCGAGGCCACGCCCCTCAAAGCAGCCAAGGCGTACAGGTAGTTAAAGGACCACATTTACTGTCACATTTGCTCACTAACTCAATGTAAAACATAATGTGGAATATATTCGAATAAAATGTAATGTTGAACTTTGCTAGAGGTCCTTTGCCCACCAACGAGATGGAACACTGGATCCTGATCGGAGAACCCAGCAGGAAGCACGCTGCCATCCACTGTAAAAAGTAAGCCCCTGTTGTCCTCCCGCTTGCATTTTGCTCTTCTCCGACACGTTTTGTTTCTCGCGCAGGTGGATGGACATCGTCACCGACCTCAACACCCAGAATCCAGAATATTTGGACATACGCCACATGGAGAAGGGCATCCAAAGGCGCACCACCAAAAAAGTATGCTTTCCCGTTCCTAGTCAAATTTGAACTCACGAGGTTTTGTTTTAACGTATGACTCTTTGGACAAATGAATTGATAAGCCTTTGTTACAAGTTAAATTTGTCTAAAGGGTGTGTGATATTTGGCTATTAAGTCATCAGATGAAGAAATATTGCCAATGCGGTCGCATTATCTGGCGCGTCCTCATTAAGACCTTGAATTTGAGATGCGACTCGTATCTCCTTTGTTCTCAGTCACTAGACAAAATTTTGCTAAGACGTTTCATCTGAGGTGTGACTCTCACTAATGAGTTGCAAATTGATGTTTTACCCTACATGTCAAATTTCATTGATGATCACGTTACAAGTCAAATTTAACTTGTGGCTACAAAATATTAGGTCATTATAAAAGATATCCAAGCACTCATCAAAACCATAACGTTAAATGTGATAGGCAGCTGCATTTTTTTTTTATTACATCATCATATACATCACCATATGAGGGCATGTTGACTAAATAGTTACAGATCATGTAAGCCCTCACTGAGACCTCAAATTTGAGGAATGAGTCCGCGCGGTTTCTTGCCAATAGGTTTATGACCGCATTACTTGTTTAATTTTCCGGGGGAAAGGAAAAAAAAAAAACGACAATGTCGTTCGTGGGTTCTCAGGTGGGTGGGAACCTGCACTGCATTATGGCCTTCCAACGCGTCAACTGGCAAAAGCTGGGCCCCTGGGCCCTCAACCTGGAAAACCTACGGCACGGCGGCGGCGGTGAGGGGGAGGAAACCAAGCGCCTTGCCGAGCTGGGACGCTCGCAAAGCACGGGCAGCCACAAGGACGCCCCATGGAAGCGCATGTCCAATACTGCAGACAACAGACAGAAGAGCTCGCCCGACAGCGACATCGACGAGGATGATGCCAACTGAACACGAGGACAACAAACGGTACAAGAACTAACTGATGCTGGAGCGACGACAGCACGAAACAATTTCCTCTGGCGGAGTAAGACACATTCGGAAAGGTCATAAATACAAATGACGGTGAATACGCACATGATTACAAATACTGCTGTTCCATGCTGATGAGCCGCATTGTTAATTTATTGCTTGTACAAAACACATAGCTGCCGCTTTACTTTTTTTCCTCATCTTTGTCATTGTAGCTCAAAACTTTTTTAAAAGTGTATTTTTTTTTTTTTTTTAGTGTTACATTCCCAGGTCTGCTTCCTCCTCCGTTGGATGACGTGTTTTTAAGTGTCGTCTCAGCTCGCCAATTTGATCCGGACGTACACGACAGCAACCACCTGACAAGACAAACATTTTCAAGTAGGGTCGTTCGTGCGTGTCGATTTTCTCATCCAGCAAACGGTGCTGTGGTGAAAAAACGATTTTTTTCATACGTGGTGATTTGACGATGAAATCAATGCGTAAATAAACTTGCCATATAATCAATTTTTCCAGTGTCTGACTTCATTTGAAGTATGACTTGGTGCTCGCTTAACTCTTCGATACCTTTGATTTAAGGTTGAAGTTGATTTATGGCTCCGTTACCAGTGAAACTGGATCTGGAGTTGTTTTTGTTTTTTTGGGGGGGTTAAGACATCATAATTACTTATAAATGTATGACCCAGTTAATAATGAGATTGTACCTGGTAAATCGTCATGTGTGGGGAGATCGACAAAATTTCAATATATGAGAAATTGATTTATAACCCTGTTGCTTGTCAAATTTGATGTGGGACTGTTCTCTTTTTCAGGTATTAGACCATTGGGTGTGCCGATCGAGTTACAAATCTGGAAAGCTCTCATGACGTTTACGATTTAACTTTTTTTTTTTTTTTTTAAATACAAAATGATTTATGATCCCTGATCCAAGTCAAATAGGTCTGAGGCTACTTTTTTTTAACACATCTTCACATTGAGGAAAAAAATTGCATATCGAAAGTCCTTATCAAGATATTAGTAGTTTCCGACATGTGATTTGGTTTGAGGTAAGTTTCATAATTAGATAAAAATTGTAACCTTACCGATCAAAGCAGCCCCTTGCTTGATCCAAGTGTCACTTAGAGCCGGTATGCTTGCTGTTGTTTTCTCTGATGTCTGCCATCTTAAACAAAATGTGCAAATCAAAATGACTCGATAGAAATTGTAAAACATAAAAATGAATCCATGCAAACCAATTTCTATTAAGGAAGCCATGCTAAATTTCTACAGTTTCTTAGATTTGTATTGTACTGCAAATTGATTCATGACCCCTTTGCAGTTGATCTGAGATGTTTTTTTTAATGACGTCATCTGTTTGCGTGTATATTGATAAAATAATCAGACAAAAAGCCCTCGTTAAGACTATATAGGGGTTGTTGGAAATAGATTTATGACCCCGTTAATGGTCAAATTAGCATTATTGGCCCTTGTGAGGATAAAGCTGATTGGAAAATGAATGAATGTTCTCATATGAGAGCACATTGACAACATTATGTAAAGTGTTCAAATTTTGTTTTGAGCTATGACTTGTTGAAAGTCGGTCGGTTAAGATGAAATAAAGTCATTCATAACTATAAATTCTAAAAGCGGCTATTGTCAACTCACCCCTGCTCAGCGTCCCACTCCTCCCCGCTGTTGGGATATACCACCCATTTCCTATCTGGGCTCCTCAGGGCCACAACAGAGTCCAAGAGAGGCTCCACCCATTCCGGAGGACAACAGTTGATGCCAACGGCCAGCACCTGCGCGGACCTGCCCACCACACGGACGCCATCTTGCAGCAGGTGGCCGTCCGACAGATGCGTCCCATCCTGACACAGCGGCACAAAAGTGCTGATTCATTTAGCTGATGAGCCGTAATTGATTGGCCTCTCATTACCTTGCAAGAGAAAGAAATCCAGGCATTGCAATTTGGGAATTCCCGGAGAACCTCGGCCAATGCTCCCGCTTCTTTGACACTCGGGATGGTCTCCAAGGCGAGGACCTCCGCTCCCGCTGCTGCCAGACACTCCAACTGAGGGCGATGCCAAGCTTTCAACTCCTTGGAATGCAAGAGCTCAAGTTGAAGGAACTGATCTGTCACTGTTGAGCAAGGTAAACAATTTTTTTATGGCAGTTGACATTTGATTTTTGGAAAAGATTCAATTATACTTTGTTGCAAATTGATTTATGTCCCTCATTACCAGTCAAATTTGATCCTTGTCTAGGTTTTGAGGTGTGATTCATTAGGGTTTATTAAAGACTGATTTACTATGACAAAAACACTTCTCAATACCTTGTTTTGAGGTATGATTCTCTTTGATTTTTAGTAAATTGATAAATGATCTTGGTACAAGTCAAATTTGCATGATTTTCTGCTTATGTGGGTGTGACCTTATTTGGAGAGCAACATGGGCCCAAGAATGGAGCCCTGAGGGACGGCACAGCTTATTTATTTTGCTATGCATCTCACCTCTACGCTCATTTTGTCAGCATATGCTCCACTGTACTCTGAGCCGTCATGAAGAAAGGCTCCGTAGGGTCCCACGGATGCTGTGACCGCCACAGGGCGGGTCGCCCGCTGTCCACAACCAAACGCCATCACCGCCTCTTCGGCCAGACGAACCCCGGATGCCAGCAGTTCTCTGGCGGCGTCCGAGCTGACACCCAAGTGCTGGACGAAGCCTTGAATGGTGGCCTGGTAAGTGGCGCTGGTGATGACGTCGGCACCGCTCAGGAGGAAGCTGATGACATGTCACGTACTTGTCATCCAGCAGTTAGAGACATTATTTAACACCAGACATACCTGTGATGAGCAGCTTTGATAGCTTGGGGGTTGGTGTGCAACAGCCTGGCACTCCATAACGGGTCTCCCTGTAATATTGATAATAATAATAATGAAGTAAGACCTTTACCTACAATTTAATTCGATCCGTGACCATGCTCATAGCTTAAATCACTAAAGTTTATTGCTGCTATCAAGAGGCGAATACTCCAAAAGTCACTCTTGTAACTCGAATTTTGTCCCACAAGAAAACAACTAAAAAAAGTTGACCGCGCGACAAGTAATCACACACACACACACACACACACACACACACACACACACACACACACACACACACACACACAGACAAAATAAATAAAAATCACAAGTTTCGGCACTCACACAATAAAGATAGCAAAGCACCCCTGTGCGCCTTAAGTATGTTGAAAATGTTTTTAAACATAAATCTACATGATTTAAATTGCTCAGTATTAACCTTACCCACAAATGTGATAAAACAATTATTTACAGTGTAAATTATATAAAAATATTTCTCTAGTATTATATAAATGAGAAACGTAAAAAAACCACATTTATTCATTGTTTGTAGTATACAGTCAGAAATAACATGAAATAATTTTACAGCATTTTTTTTTTTTACCTGTAAACGTGCACCTTGTGCTTCCAATTCTGTGGCTAATCCGCCATCCAAAAGCAAAACTCCTCCATGGTCCGAGTCATTTCTCAGTCGAGCTCGTAAATTCATTAAAAACAATGACGTAAAACAAAAATGAATATAGTGGCATTTATTCGACGCTTAAATTCATAAACACAACCTGACAACTACCCAACACGTTTCATCAATGTTGTGCTTCCGGGTTCGAAGCAAGTTCAAGTGTTGCGTTTACGAACTTAAACCACCATGAGTGTGATGACTTTCTCACTGTCACGAAATCTCCAGTAGATGACGCTGTAAGACATAATTTTAGTTGTATCTTAAACGAAACCTAAAGTAATTTATTCATACTGTATTTGTATTCTATTCCACGTCTAAGTTCCCTTCTTACCGATCCTACTCTTCCAATCCAGCCATTCAAATTCACTCACCTTTTGAATAATGTATTGGATGAATGGTTAGATCTATGTAATATGTTATGATGAAGTACTTTACTCGTGCATTCTTTACGATCCACGTGATGTAATTCTTAAATGTGCTATAAATCGTTTCAATTATTTAGTAATGCACCGGCGTCACAGCGTATTTCCGAACTTGCCCATAGTTACTATAGAAACCAATGCGGCGTTCAAAACCCTCTGAAATTTTATTGACACATTTCATCTCCAAGTCTTAGCCCACGAGTAACAAGGACATATATTACGTCTTGAGTGGTTATAAATTGTAACATATAGTCAAAAACAACGACAGATTGGGCATTAAATATATTTAGGAACATTGCAACGCCCCATTAAATATCAAGGAATTCATTACAGCTTCGTCTTTACATTTTACATTGGAACTGGAACGCACCATGAGCACAGCCGAAGCTACCTAGCAAACGCTTGCCGAGCTAAACATTTGGGACATGAGGACTTCGTTAACGACTAAATAATGGCAAGTTGAGTAAAACTCATATTTCATATTCAACAAACAACACGAACGCAATTTTGTTAGCTTTTCATTCGCCTCCGATAAAAACAACAACAAAAAGTCGCCGAAAGCTTTCAATTGTGTTCCCCGAATATTGGTCTTCACGGACGCTAGTACTCCGGTTAACGCTAATTGACGATCTGTAGTCTTTTTTTTTTTTTATATGATATACACAATTGTGGTGGCTTAATGAGCTGTTATCAATATTTGATTGGTGTCTGTCTCGCGAGTTCATTTACTTTAAACTGTAGAGTATGTGAGCTTTTTTTTCTGTTGCCATGGGGATTGTTGCTACAATAAAACCTCTGCAACACTAGCCGCACTTGCACAAACGATAAATAATTTGATAAAGTCATGACATATTTGTGCCCCCACCCAAAAAAAGAAGATTGATTCATGTCAATAGGGAGTGCTACTACGCTATATTTGTTTTTGGGTAGTTCAGTGTCAAGCATAAACTATGTTTGGCTTGATAATGAACAGCAGCATGGCAAAAGACTCCAATTGAGTCTTATAGAAGGTAAAATTCTTAAAATGGGGCAGGGAAACGTCAGTATTGCTCTTGGTAAGTGATGGGAGTTAAAGCAAGTTGCAAAACATAAAGTACAGTAGGAGTCCAACAAAATATACGTTTTGCTTAGAAAAAAAATGTTTCATTGAGTCAAGAAAACGTAATAAAATGGCCATATAGCTTGTATGAAATGAGTAATTGGTATGCTTAATGTTTTTGTCTCTTTTTGCTCAGGAGGAGAAGGAGCGCTTTGCCTTTTTGGCCGATTGGTACGACCCAATGGCAGCTCTGGTGCGGCGCTACCAGCTCTTTTACTACCCCCATGACCACACTGTGGAGATGGTACGGAACAGTTCTACTTATTTATTTACTTTATTTAGGAATGTACTTGCCTCCCAATCTACGATCGCACTCAGGTGAGATTTCAGCGATCATGAAATAAATGTGTTGATTTTTTTTTTCTTGAGCACATCAGATTTTCATAATATCATACAATACAATATGTAAGAGAGTAAATATATTTAGTAACATTCATAAATTAAGGCTTATGTTTAGCAGTTGAGTGAATAAACACCGCTGGTCCTTCCTGAAGAATATGAATATTATTTATTGCTATGATGATGGCTTATAGCGTTGTTTTTCTGTGTTATTTTAAGACAGGCCTTTTTCATGCCTCATTAGCAACACATTATCACCACTGTTCCACGCTGATGGACTTTTGGTGTTTTTATGACAGTTTGACGTGAAGAACCAGCGTATTTTCCTGCGCCGGACCAAATACGGCGACCTGCACCAGAGGGATCTGTTTGTGGGCAACCGGGTCAACGTCTTCTCGCGGCAGCTCAACATCGTCGACTACGGCGACCAATACACGGCCAGCAAGCTCGGCAGCAAAAAAGAACGGTAACGGCCTCACCTCATCAACAAAAACCGCCTCGGGATTATTTTTAGAAGCTCCTTAAGCAGAAGGCCAGACGTGAGCGGGGCGTCAGATCTGAATAATCACACGAGACGGGGTCAAATGATGACTGGTGTCATTTTTCAAGAGATATTTTGGAAGCAAATCTCATCCGGATTCATATTTACTGCATATTTGTTAATCTCAAAAGTCACAGTCAGAGCATTTAATGCTCATAATAAATGCAATCAAATGACGTGATGTCATACAGGACCCTCGCGCTACTCAAGCCGGACGCCGTCAGCAAGCTTGGAGATGTCTTGGAAATGGTCACCCAGGCCAACCTGATGGTCACCAACGCCAAGATGACGCAATTGACATGGTAATTCATTATTGAAAGCATTTATTTATTGACAATAAAGCTGACTTGAACTTGAACTTTATACAAAGAGACTAGTTTGTAGGTGTCCTTTAACCCGATGTGATGTTTTAGACTTGATGCTCGTGACCATCCATGCACACGTGGACTCGAACATACCATATGTTTTGGAATTAGTTTCCACTTTATTAGCCATAAACACACGTATACAATGGCAATTATTGATGCAGTTCGCGTTGCCAACTAGTCCCGCTATGTTTGATTCATATCAGTTGTTCAGCTCCCCTCATTCGTTTCCTTATAGAAACCAGAATAGAGTTCTGTCGCTGCAACACAGCCTTTTATTCATTTTGCACACCAGTTACAATGTGTTATCATTTCAGGAGCCAAGCTGCAGACTTTTATGTGGAGCATCAGTCAAAGCCCTTCTTCAAGTGAGTGTAAATGTTGACAGCAGGTGACGTGATTCGTGATTACAATTCACAACAGACTTAAAATGTTCATCAGCTAGCAAAACCGGCAACGTAGATCAATAGAAATTGCCCAGATTCTTGAAAGGCCAATAAAAATGAGCTGACCGGTCTTACTGGGCAGATTAGCAGCTGAATCGTTCAATGAAAACAAAAGCAGGCAGTTGTGGCTCGGAGGAGTAAATTTGGGCTGAGTCCCAATTTGGGCCAATGAAACGAGTGAAGGCAGTTGTTGCTAGGCAGGATAAAATAAGCCTGAATCACATTTGGCCAATGACAGCAGTTCATACAGTTGCTAGGTAGAAGAAATTGGGCTGAGTCCCACCTTCACAACAGGTCAGTGAAAACCGTGTGTGCAGAGTAAAATGGGCTGTTTTGCGACTGCCCAATAGGCCAATGAAAACAGACCATACATCTGTTGCTAGGCAGAATAGATGGGGCTCAGTCACAACTGCCCAATACCCCAATGAAAAGAAAGAATACAGGAACAGGAAGCCAAACAGACACACACACACACACACACACACACACACACACACACACACACACACACACACACACACACACACACACTAAATGACACTGAAGTGTATGTTGTTCAAAATACGTTGCGTTGGAATTGAAGTAACTGCTCTGTATTAAATATAACACCCACATTAGAAAAAGGATATATTTACACATAGTATATGCATATTTTTAAGCATGTCTTTGGCTGTTCTTAACAGTTCCTTGGTGCAGCAGCTGTGCTCCGGTCCCGTGGTGGCATTGGAGCTGGTGGGCGACGAGGCAGTGTCCGTCTGGAAGAACTTTGTGGGATCCTCAGACGCGGCGGTGGCACACAAGGAGGCGCCGCAGAGCGCACGCAGCCAGTTCGGGAGAGATTTGGCACACAGCTCTGACTCGCTTACCTTCGCCGCCAGAGTAAGCAATTTCATGTCCCTTCCAGACTTTCGCAAAGACATTTTGAACACGTTCAAAATTTGACGGCGACAAGAAACGAACCCTGATGACAAAACCTTCGTATCACTTGCAAACCACCCCCACTCAGTGAGATTTGGTCTTAATATACTACAAGTTCTTACATAATAAATAAAGTTGAGTGTTAAAGAGTTTACTATTAGTTTGATTCCTCCTACTTGGTCTTCCTCTGCTCGGAGTAATTTTTATATTACTGCTTTGGTGCCCAAAATTAATAATCGTGGCACTTGCACCAGTGCTGTTCCGGTTTTAATGTCCTCACTGATCTTATGTCCTCTAGTCTTAATGTCTACATTTGTCTTCATGTCCTCTCTTATCTTGACATACACTCTACTTTTAATTCCCTGTCCATGGCTCGATGGAGTTTTTATGTTTGGACGATGTGCAATGTCCTCCACAGGCTTTATGCCCCTCACAAGCCGCAATGCCCTGCGCACGCCTCGCGTTCTCTCAAGTCTGTCTCCACCCTCATTAATGTTTATGTCCCCTCTCGCCTTGTCTTCATAAGTCTTGGCGCCGTGTTCTAATGCAGCATTGTGTTCTCGCGGTCCACAGGAGCTGGAGTTTTTTTTCCCGACCACAATCTGCCACGGCCCCCTCAACACGGCCCTCTACTCCCAGTGCACGTGTTGCATCATCAAACCGCATGCCGTCTCCCAGGGTAAGAGCGAGTGTGGTCCTTCCCGTGGTTTCCTTTCCCCGTTTCTCGCTGAGAAACTCTCCTACTTGCGTCTTTTTGCGCTGATTCTAAAATGACATATGTCGCCAAGGACGTCTAAATTGCAACGGTAGTGCACTAATTGGTGTCAAGGAGGTGTGATCCCAATTTTAGCATCATAAAGGAGCCTTGAAGATAAATAAATTTGGCTTCCAGGATTATGTTTTTGAAAGGGAGAATGGCAACATACGAGGTTTGCGACTGAAAGACAGAGAAGGTCACAGCGAAGAACTTGAACACCATCTGCCACGAGACAACCCACAAAGAAAGGTTAGCTATGGCGACTTTGCAGTTTG